TCCCCCAAATCCACACATTTTCCCCTCAGGATTTCCTCCCACCCCCCGCCATTTTTTTTTTCTGGCCTCAACACCTGCTGCTTTTCCCTCAGGATTTCCTCCCACCCCTCAAAATCTGCCTCTTCCACCCCAAAATCTACCCCAGATCCCCAAATCAGAATTTTTTACCTCAGAAGCGCCCCATTCCCAAATATTTGCCTCATCACCCCCAAATCTACCTTTTTTTAACCTCTAAATCTGATCCAGACCCCAAAATCTCTTTTTTTTCTGGCCTCAAAACCTGCTTCTTTTCCCTCAGGATTTCTTCCCACCCCCAAAATCTGCCCCAGAGCCCAAAATCAGAATGTCCCCACCTCTAATATTTGTCTTATCACCCCCAAATCTGCATATTCCACCTCAAAATCTGCTCCTTTTCCCTCAGGATTTCCTCCCACCCCCTGAAATCTGCCTTTTCCACACCAAAATCTGTTGGGTTGGGTTTTTTTTTTTTCCTCAAAACTTGACTTTCCCTCGGGATTTCCCCTCACCCCCCAAAATCTTCCTCTTCAACCTGAAAATCTGCCCCAGAGCCCCAAATCAGACTTTTTGAGGGGCCCAAAACTGGCTCCTTTTCCCTCAGGATTCTCCCCAAAAATCTGCCTTTTTCACCCCAAAATCTGCCTTTTCCACCCCGAAATCTACTCCAGACCCCCAAATCTGCATTTTTTTACCTCAGAAATGTTGCCCGAAGTTCTTGGCTCCTCTGGGAGCGGGGCCCTTGTGCTCCGTATGGGATCCGTCCTGGAGCCCTTTCCCTGCTCCCTGTTTTCTGGGAAAAGGGAATAAAAGAGGCAGGAAGATGAAATTTTCCCCTCAGCACAATGAAAATTCCCTTTTTTTTTTTTAATGCGGGATGAGGGTCAGGACAATGAGCCCGAGGGTCAATCCCGGCTGTGCCGGGCTGGGAATTCCAGGATCTCCCGGTTCCTGATCCCGAGGGGGTTTTCCGTGGGCAGCCCCCCGTTTTTTGGGGGATGGGGGGTGGTGGTGTTGCATCAGGAATGGCACCAACTGCTCAAGGCAATTGTGCAACAGGAAGGGGCCCCAAAATTCCCCGGACACCGAGGGGGGAGCCGGTCGCGGGGGGTGTGTGTGTGTCCCGCTGCCGTGCCCTGAGCCACCCCCAGGCCGTGTACCCCCTGTCCCCACGCCGGGACCACCCTCCCGGCCCTGGGACCCCTCTGTCCCCACGCCAGACCCCCACGTGCCCCCCTCGCGACTCCCGCTCCCCAGCCTGAGACCCCCCTGTCCCCGCCCCGGGACCGCTCCAGGCCCCCCTGTCCCCACCCCTTGTCCCCAGCCGCGGATCCTCCGGGACCCCTTGTCCCCACCCTGGGCCCTCTCTGGGACCCCCCTGCCCCCCGAGGGTCCCCGCGCACGTGGGCTCCTTCACTTTCTGAACCGGCCGGGTGGGCCCGGCGCGCCCCCGGCCACCTGTGCCTCCGACCAATCAGAAAAATCTCCGCGCTGCCGCCCGCCAATGAGAGCGCTGTCGCTAGGTAGATTAGCGCGCTAGTGTCAGCGGGCAGGGAGGGCGGGCTCGTCCCCATCGTGCAAGCACCACCGGCCAATCACGACAGGAGGATCTGATGATTGACAAGCTATCAAACGAATCAGAGCAGGGCGAACGATGACGGCCGGGAGAAGGCGTGGTCGCACCTTGAGCGACACCTCATCCAGCCAACCAGAGCGCGGGGGTGCGGCGCGGCAGCC